CAGCCGATGACTTCAGAGCCAGGAAACAGCTCAAGAGTCGGCCCGAGGTTCCCTCTCTTCTTATTTCCCTGCAACCTAGGCTTCACTTCAACTGGCAGCTCCATTTAACGGAATTCAGGACAGGCCACCAGGGCTCTTTCTCCACACAAGCTGGTCCCACCCCAGGTGGAGTCAGGCAGGGCCAGACACCAGAGAAGCCCGGAGCAGAACAGGGAGCGGTCTGAGCTGCTCCTCTCTCATCCAGGGGACTTCCTCCTCCCATTTGGAGGAAAAATGTGAGCTTGTTTCAAACCTCAGCTGTTCCTTGAAGTTCATAGAGTAGTAAAAGAAAACAAAGACGTGGTGGAAAGGGAAGTGTTGGTGACAGTGAGAAAAACCTTGACCTTGAGGACTCTCCTTCTTGTCCCTCTGTGAAGCCTCTTCCACCACATCGGGCTCAGGACTGACAAAGCCCCCTCCCAACCTTTCTCAGCCTGGACTCAAGTTCAGCCATGAGAAAACGGAAACACAAGGAGAAGAGAGTCTGTAGAGACAAATTGGGAGGGTTCAAGAGGAGAATTTAGGATTTGCTTCTGCCCATGGGACACAAGCTGGGAATAAAAAATGTTTTCCTGACTCTTCTCAGAAAGCCATAGAGACTCTACCTAAAACCCTATTGCCAATGATGCAGGATCCACTTACTGTAGACTTTGATCATCTTGAATGTGAAACGTTCGCTGCCAGTGACTGAGTTACGAGCAGAGCAACCATAGAGCCCGCCATGCTTTGTAGTAATATAGGGGATATAGAGCTCTTGTCCTGATTGCACAAACTTCCCATTAATCTTCCAAGAATACTCTGCCGGTGGGTTAGAGTCCGCGAAGCAGTACAAGTGGAGGCTTTCTCCTGTATAGTAGTAATATTTGACTGGAGCCAAAATGCTGGGTACGTCTGGACCATCTGGAGTAAAGAGAATAAAGCCACAGGTGATGTCGTCTGAGGGAAGGAGATGCTCCTGGTCTCTTAAAGGCATCAGTGTCCCTCTGAGCCAAGACACACCCTTAAGGCCCAGCCAAACCGCTGCTGTGTTCACTGAGTCGAGGCCTGAGGTATTCACCTGTTTCTCCCATCACAGGATGCAGACCCCAAGTCTCCCATGATGAGAGTATCTCCTCACCTTATATTCTTGGTTAAGGCTGTGCCTACCCAGGTTTTCCCAGGGCAGGGAGTCATGGCCAGCTCGGGTGTCCAGAAATAAAAGTGTCTGTACTTGGACGTGAGAGAGACTGAGATGCTCGGCCTCTGGTCATTTGGATTTTAGCTGGTGGCCTGGTCCACAGAGGAACCAAAGATACAAAGGACCTCCAGGGTGACTGGGTCACTGGGGATGCTACCAACTCGGTCCCGTATTTTACATTCATAGGGTCTTGTGTCATTTCTTGTGACATTTGCTAGAATGAGGATACTGTTTTTACCGGGTTGCTTTAGCCTGGGAACTGACCAGGAGGCTCTGACCATTTACCCATCACACATAGGTGTAGCCCTGAGTCTTAAGTTCACAGTTAATGCTACAACATTCTTATTCTCCATGGGGTTGAAGTTGTTGCTGGTGATGTAGGACCTGGGCAGCTCCGCTGTGTGGATAACAGAGAGAAGATTGTCCTGTGTGGCACCTTTGATGCCTCCATAGTCATCCTTCAATCAGAGTTAGCATCTCCCACCTCTCAGCCCACTCAAGTCCTTGAAAGTCAGTAGCTGGTGCGTGTGTCACCAGACAGATGCATGATGATCTAAGGGCTCAAAGACTGTGAGGCCGCCTGCTCTGTCTTAGGGTATCACAGACTTTCTCAAGTGTGAATTGAGCAGCAGTGTTGGGTCATGGACAGACAGGTCAGTGGGACCCACAGCCCCTGGTACCCCTCCCAGTCCCTCTCTAATCAACTGTCTTGCTGGCTCACCTTGGGTTCATTACCTGGAATGTGCAACTGCTGGGCCCCTTCCAAATTCCATCTTACTTTGCCCCCCCAGATATGATTTCTCTGCAGTTTCCACTTCCAAGGACATTCCAGAGATGAGTAATAATGGGACTTCCGATTGTCCTGAAATCCTGAAGATACTGAGCAGCCTGGCCTGGGACTGGGTGTTTCAGCAGAAATAAGACAGGGGAGACCAGAGTCAAGGCTGGAGGTCAGTTCAGTCATCAGGCAGTGGAGGCACAAGGTGGGGCAGTTTTCTGCAGGTGTTTCATGATGACTTACTTGAGCCAGTGACCTCCAAAGACAGAGCAGAGTGCAAGGAATGATCTAGAAAGAGTGCAGGGGACAGGCAATAGCTGGTGGCTTAGGAGCGGAACTATGTTCCCTATTCTGGATTCTTTAAGTTTCCTCTCCTTCTGCAGAGGACAGGTGAGGACTATGTGGATCTTTCCAGAAACACATGTGGACATTTGAAATGCAGAACTGACTGGTGGAAAGGGTGGGAATGAACTTCTGGAAATCTGGTCCTCATGTACTATGTGTGTTTGATGTATATGAGACAAATTTGGGGAGAAGTTTTGGAAATATTTTCTTTTATTGTACTCTCTACTCTCCGATTCCATGGGTTTGACTACTCTAGGGACCTCATGTAAGTGAATTCCAGAGTGAATTTGAGAAGAGAGCTGCTGGGAGTGGGGAGAATCAGAAGTTTTTTGTGGGTGTGCAGTTTCTGTTATGCAAGACGAGGAAGTTCTAGAGATCTGCTGTACAGCTCGATGCCTATAGTTCACACAAATTGAGTATTTCTTATGCATAAGACTTAGGACAAAAAGTGTTTTGGATTTCTGACATTTTTTGATTCTGAAACGTTTGTCACATACTTGCTGGTGTAGCATC